TCTGGAGAGTAGCCGGAAGACACATCAGCAATCCGCACAATCTCCTCAAGCTTCCGCCGCTGGTCATCCTGGCATTGATCTAACTGGCAATACAAACAAACATTCCAAAACTCCAAACATCCATTAGGACATTAACAAAAACATGCTTTGTAGTTCAAATTGAGGTATGGGAGTTTGCCCCGAGACCCAAGGCGTATGTTTTTACTTTGTAGTGCATTTAGGTTTCCCTTGAGGTCATGCGAAAGCAGCTTTCAAGAAGTTGCTCAAGAAGATCTTGCGAAGGATAAAGCACATGTTCGCAACGACCTTAGTGCTTTCGCACTCGCCTCGTGAAAGCACAAATTCCGGTTGATGATGAATGGTCCAACAAAACGGCTTGCTGGTATGCATTCTGTAATATGACTGTCATTGTCCAAATGTAATAAACCCTAAAGAAAGTTTACGGGAATTATTCATGATATGCCAATCATGTGTACTCATTCTGAGAATAGATGATCATGCAAAGTTGCAGGGAACAAAGTGTGAGAATCTCGTTGCGGTATATGTTTGTACAGTGTACAGCTTGGTGATGTTTGTTGCAAACCCACCACCAAGGCCATGCCAGTCAGCTCAGAGAAGAAGAAGGTGAAGGACAAGCAAGGGCTGATCTAACCTCACCAGTAGGCCGCCCTGCCGAGTTCACCAAAGTCAACTAGACCATGATGGCTGACCGAGACTCATAATGTTTCCTGGCAGATGTTGCGGACTTCAAACCGGATGACGAGGATGAAGACTCTGTCATGCTTACGGATGAGGAAAATGAAGAGCATGAGACAGTGCACTCGGCCAGACCAAGCCAAAGAAGTCCAAGCCTACCAGCCTTGGACTGTGAGGAAGATGAAGTGGCCCACAAGACTGTGAAGCACCCCAAGAAGGCTTTAAAGGCAAAAGTCATACAGCCGTGACCCAAGACCACCAGAAAAGAAACTAAACAGCTTTCTTCTGAAACTATTTACTCTTCGGAAACTAAAAGGATCTAAAAGGTGATCTTCAGAAACTTTACGGCGTTCTTCGGAAACTCGGAAACTAGACGCTTTTTATCAGTTTTCTTCGGAAGAACACTTTCCGCAGCATGCAAAATACTCCTGAAGATCCTGAAGTTCGCAAAGTGTTTTCTGGAGAATGCTATGGCTGTAGGCATGTACTGTAGCCCTCACAGGGTACGTCAATAAGGCCACCCATATCCACCCATCCCCCCACCCACCCCCTCCCCCCGTGCCCCGTTCATGCAATCTGGATGCAAGGTGGAAGTTCTGAAGAATACTTTCTGAAGCACACAAAAAGCTTTCTGAAGATCGCGAAATAGGTTCTGTGCATCGCGAACTAGTTTCTCAAGATGGCAAATAGTTTCTGAAGAGCGCAAAAAAGTGTTTAAGATCGCGAAATAGTTTCTGAAGCTCGCAAACTAGGAAGAGTACCAAATAATTGCGGAAGGAAAGTTTCAGAAGAATGAAGAGTTGCGGAATTGGACTTACTTTGTTCGTGGGGGTTCCAGCCGAGGCCAAAAGATACCTAAGGAGAAGATCTTCAGGCACCAATTACAACTTTTCACATTGCGCGCGTGAAACGAGCTGAACGGTTGGCGCCGCTGGTGGCCAAGAGCCGCATCATAATCCCAGGCCATCTGAATCCGCAGATTGGCACCTACCGCACTGACTCGCCCACAGCTGGGTCCAGAGGCGCGGCTAGCGGCTAGCAGGTGAACAGTTTTGACATGTTTTGACAAGTCCACTGCATTTCTGAGCTGAAAGGCAACGGAAAGAGAGAGATTTGTGTCCGAGCTGCACCCACCGGACTGCCTGCAACAGAAGCCTGTCCAGCCATCCGGCCATACGGGCTCACGGAGAGTCCTCGCCTTCAGTACTTGGAGGCAAAACATTGTATGCACAGGGCCGCGTGGCAAGAGCTGGCTGCGTCCAAGAGCGTCTTCGTGGCTTCGGAGAAAGGTATCCCCTGGGCTCTTTGCGGCCTCCACTTGTGGGTGACGACAAGGATCCTTGCTTTCGGAAGTTAACAAGCGCTTCAACATCAAAGAATAATGAATTCTGAATGGATCTTCATCTGCAGGTTCACTGACCGCACAAGTATGTCACAATGTGGCAGGGATCGAATCCATGGCTGCGCCAACTGGAGATCCCTCTGCTCCTTTGACTTCGGAGTAGGTGTCACAGTACCAGCACCTGGTGATGAAGATGCGGTGGCCCGCACAGCTGCGTGCCGCAAATGCTCTGCATCAGGCCAGGACTTCAAGGAAACTTTTGGAGCTGTGGACCTGATGAATACCTTCTTTGACGCCAGCCTTGCTAAGGAGGACCAAGAGAAGTCCCAGCTGGCTGCTATGCACTTTGTGGCGAGCAGCAAGGTCCAAGGAAGGACCTGCCCGCGCTTCCGTTGCTGACTTCGCGACGAATAGAAGCATCCGGGTAGTACGATCTTCTATGGCTGCCGTAGCCTGCTCGATGTGCTTGGCTGCGGACTGGCACCTCTACATGAGGTTGATCCTCTACATGCTGGCCACAGGGGACCAAGATGTCCAGGCTGGTTGGAGGGAGCGACTGAAGATCCCTGGAAGTTTGGTGACGGATGCAGGATCCCTCATAGATCACATCACCACCGCCACCACAGGACAACCAACCCCACACCGAGCGCCAGAGGCTTCTGGACTTGCTCGTGTGTAAGGACTTGGTTGAAGGGAACGTGATCGATATGAGGTGGGAAAGCAGTACGCGGACTTCATGACCAAGTGCCTCCAACTCTCTGGCGCTGGAGTTCCAGCTGGGTATGATCTCGTTGCACGAGACCCCGGAGGCACAGGATGAAGCCCGACGGAGAAACATCCGGAAGGCCCGGCGGCAACGCCGCAAAGAGAGAATGCCGAGGACGCTCCCTGCTTCCGGCTGTGCCCACTGCCTGCTTCAATTCGCAACATCACCAACACTACCCTTCTGGGGATGTGAGAATCTTGTTGCGATATGTTACGATGTGTGTTTGCATAGTGTACAGCTTGGTGATGCTTTGTTGTGTGGCCATATCTGCCCAAGATCTGGCCAGATCGACCGCGATTTCGCTGCTAAAAGTTTCTGCTTTTGCGGCCGCTAAGGTTGCTTATCCCCACCTACTCCGCACAAAGAACTGTGGGCTCCTCCAGCTGGAGAGATAGCCGTGCCACATCATTGGTGAATGTGGCCTGGCAACAAAATTCCGGAGATCAATGCACTGAGATGTATCTTGACTGCTGCCGTGACTTATACAGTCAAGGCAGTTTCAAGTTCCAAGTACAAGTACCAGCTCCCAAACACCTGCTCAACAACGAATCACTTTCAAAAAGGCTGTTGTCGAGCCATTGTCATTGTCACCCTCTCTATCGGCCAAATGCTTAAAAGTATTTCCTGTGTTTCCATTCCTCCACAGAACACTACATTTAGCGCAGCAGCAATAACTGAATGTGCATAACAAAACCCTTTGGGATTAAAGGGTGGTGTTTCTCCGTTTAGGTTGCGCAGGAAACGGGGTCTCGGCCTGCAGCTGGTCTCGCTCTTGTTCAAGGGCCGAGTAGCGCTGGCGAAGAGACGCTACCTCCAGTCTTCTGCCACAAAGAGTGCTCTAACGGGATCGCTGGACTCATAAACCCCAAAGGTCTGCAAGGCTTTTGGAGAGCAAATCTCCTGAATAGTAGGTTGGAGGCCACAGCTCTTGGGTTGGAGGCCATCGCTAGTAGGTTGGAGGCCTCTGGAAACAAACAGCAAGCTGAATAATCTGGATGGCTTTCCAAGACTTGTAGTGATCTCTTTATGAATGGGCAACTTCCAAAGGAATGAGCCAAGAATGGGTTGCTGGCACAACGCAAAGGTTACTTTGAGATTTTGGAGTTTTGTTGTTTGGGAAGGGTGCGGACCTTGATTGAGAAATCATATCAAAGGTCGGTGAACAAGGGCCAGGAACATTGAGAAGTCAAACAGACTAACACTGGGGGGGAGTTCGCGAGGGGCACCTACAAACTTGGACGCTAATTACTTTTAATTCAATATGAAGGCAAGAAAGTGCGTAACATGTACCGAAGCCAAGCATGGCAAAGCCAGTGGTACCCAAAGGTGCAAGACTCGCAACATATGCTTGCCCTACTTGCCCATAGCCTTACAATGGCAAATCTCACAACAAAATGGCAAGGTGCCTCATTGGATCTTAGCTCCTGCTCTGCCAGGACTCGCAACTGGGCGTAGGTCGGGCAATAAGGGTCTTGCTTTCGAGACGGTTCCGCACTGAGGGTTGTTGCAAATGGCTGCACTTTCGACACTAAACACGACTTGAATGAACAATGTGACCTGTGATACTACATTTGAAGCAGCTCGCAAAGGATTTGGGTTCCTTCATGAACCAAGTTCGGGATGCTTGCTCAGCAGTCACAAGAAAGAACAATTCTAAAGCCCACAATGGTGTGGTTAGGGCACCAGCAAAGGACTCTACACATAAATAACTATATATATATGTATACTACCGTATATAGAAGTTGAATGAATTTGACATTAGATGACGAGACAATTGAAAGCATCTTCCTCCGCAACAAAGCATTCTCCAGTAAGTTTTGTCTGCGATTGAGTTTGACTCCACGTTATGGATACTGCAAATTGAATTGTTAAGGTCAATTTAAATGATCCGTTCAACATCACTCAAACCTATCAATGTCTGTCATTCAAAGGATCGAAAGGATTATGAAGAATCTGTACTGCAAACCGCAAACCAAATAGCAAGGTTGTTAAATTTGGTTCCAGTGTTGCCTTGGTCAAACAGCCACCAGGCAAAACGCCTCCAACGACTCCAGCTCTCGATTCACGTCGCTGGCCAAGACCCGCTGTTCGATGGAGCTCTTCACCAATGCTGCGGCGCAGCAGCGATTAGAGTTTGTACATGCACCCAAACTTACAGTAGCTGCAGAAGCCGCTTCTTGAACTTCGTGAATTTGTCGTGTTCTTTAATCATGTTCTTCCTCACCTATTAATTACTGGTTGTTGCAGGCTCCTGCTCTGTAGCAAGCAAACAATGTGTTCCTCTTGCATTCTTGCTTGGATCCTTTTTGGCAAAGCTCGGAGGGCGAAGAGGTCAAGAAGGCCTCCCCTTTGACAGCTGAGGATGGCGCCAATTGACTCTTCAGAGACTTTGCTCTCTTTGATGAGATCAAATCGTCCGGATCTACCAAATTTGTTCATGAAACAATCCTGATCTAGTACATATCACATCATCAGAAACAGTTTCTGACACAAACATCTCATATCGGGAAGACCTCAAAATGGTCCTTGATTGACAAAACTGTGGACTGCCCTTCCGAGGCGAAAGAACACGGTCAAACATTGTTCGGCTTTGTCAATGCTAAGCTCCTTAGTCGGCAAGTTCAAAAACTTCAGGTAGCTTTTCTGCCTGCACCAACAGGTCGAAATTGGAAGTTTGCATCCTTGTCAACATATGACGGCTACAACCGACAAAGTCCCTGACTATTCTGGTGGTAAGGGTTGAGTCAATGGCCCGTACAATTTTTACTCTGGGTGCCACTAGCTACTTGCGACTGTGCATCTGGCCAATGTTTTCACTGACAATGTGGCTCAGTTTGAACTTTGTTTTTTGGAAGAGGTCTGCTCGCACAGTATCCGCCCACGTTTGAAGGAGATAGGTTTTCGAAAAGTCACAGAGCAACAAGAACTCTCAAGTTGTACACAAGCACCCATCTGCGTATAGCTGTGTGTGAAGCCCTTGGGTTCATAGGGATTCCGTTGAGTTTGTCCTTTTTCGTTGATTTGAGCGGGGGTGCCAGGGGCCGTGCAAGTCTGGCACTAACAAGGACACTTGCACTGGTCTGTGATATAGCTAGATGAACCTACGTAAGTGCAACGCGGTCTCACTCCTTGTTTTGCAGGAAGCGGCTAATGTAGTAAGCGTCTAATGCAGCGGCGATTCGGCTTCGTGAGTTGTCTTTGGGGGCCTTGGAGGTTTCTTGGAGGGTACCGGATTCAACTTACCTGAACTCTTAGGTTTTTCACTTAGGCTGACGTGTGGCAAACCGCAATCGAGTCAGTACGCATTTCCTGAGTGTGTCTCTCCTTAGTGAGAGCCCAGGGTGAACCCGAGGAGTGTCCCCTGTGGCCCCGTCGAACGGGGGTTTGTCTCGGTTTCCCTTGCTTTGGAAACGCACGTGCCCACAGCGGGCGGAGTAGGCTTGTGCCAAAGTTATTTGCCAAGACTTGCTGAATTATTGCATTTGAGTAGGCTCAACAGTATACGCGTACTAAGAGTGCTTGCAACTGCCGGATTTTCCCTTTCCTTCGCTAGAGAACTTGCCACTCTTGTTCACTGGGCACCGGATCACGGCTTTGTGTGTGTGTATGTGTGTGTGTGTGCGCGTGCGTCAAGCCCTGTCTCGTTGAGATTGCTTTCACTCCTAATTCCTGTCCGATCGTATGTAGATCATGTTTTAATTCTATGCGGCGCCGCTGGGGATTCAGCGACCAAAACGTGCCTACTTGTTTCATCTGCGATTCACTCTCTCTTCACAGTTTTCTATGTTTTCCAAGTAGAGCTTGCGCTGTTCTCCTGCGGTGTTTTTCTGTAAAGGGTAAGGGGCTAATGCAGTCAAGGGCTAATGCACAACATGGCGTAATTACACTGAATTATGCTCTTACGAGCCTCCTTCTAAGTGCGCGCGTCTCCCCCAGCCCATGAGCACCATGCAATCAGCACTGGCCTGTGATAGCCCAGGAATCACTTCACTACGTTGAGTGCCTGGAACACGCAAAAACCACTAGCATCGCAATGATCAGCCAATGTTAATACAGCATACAGCTATTGAACGAAGACTCGTTCTAAGTGTTCGTTGCCCAGAGGTCCAATTACACTGGACTTCTCACCGACCTGCCTGAAGATGTAGCTCCTTGTTTGATAGCACCATCCAGGGCCTCATTACACATGTATGCACTTGAAATTGTTGTCTTGTCATCACTTGCGCCTTCTTGTCCTTTGGCGTTGGCGATGAACAGTCTTCCATCTGTTAAGGTTAGAAGTCATGATCCCATGGCAAGCATATAACGTCAGGTCACCACTGAGTAGTGTGTTTTCACATGCTTCACACTATACTACAGGGCTCAAGATCAAATCATCTTAACGTCATGTGAGGGCTCCCTCGTGGATGGAGTTCCCCTTTCACTACGCTGACTCATCAAAATGTACTGGATGCATGCCCTTGGAAGAGCGCCCCAGTCATGTACTTAGTTGCCTGTGGAACAAGTGCTTTCAAGGGCGCTATTGTTTCCATAAGGTTGCGGACCACAAGTGCATTTCAATGTTTTCCGGCATTGGCGGCCTTGATTTGGGCCTGTCTGCGTTGAAATCTTAGAGGTTAAAGCAGGTGTTTGTTTGAACCACTTAGAGCATTACCTTGGACTATGTGTATTGTTGTTAGCTGAAGTGTAATCAAGGTTCTGTGAGACCTTGTGCTATGAACCGCCCTTAGACTCTGCGACATGTTACTCACACTTCAATCATCTTCTGCCAAGTTTCTGTTGGGTCTCTGTCAGCCCCGGACTTTCCATTACCTCGAAACTCGCTCCCCAACCCAAGTCTGTGTGCCTCAAGGAACTCGTTTAGGAAAGCAAGCTACTAAGCGCCGAGCCCTGGCAGCCTTGGCTAGGAAGTTGTCCTCGCTGCCTTCATGGTGGCATTGCTGTCCAGATTGAAGTTACATAGAACAATACTGCAACGTTACCCAAATGCATCAAGCTTAATCAGAAACTCACCGTCAACGCACAGAACTGCACATGCCGGCAGCACCTGAGAATCTCTTTGTTGATCCTTTTAGGCTCCAACAGCATTGTGTGCCTGGAGGACAAGGTGGAGCATGTACAACTGTACAACCACAAGCCTTCGACTAGATGCGCAAGACACGCCAGAGAAACTCAGGCGCTGCATCCCAAGGCTCAGTGACTCCAGGCCTGAGATTTGGGCCATCCAGTTTCGACAGGAAACTCACGGCGCTCGAGCAATGAGTTGCGTACGTTGTAAAATGCGAGCGGACATGAAACTAATGGAGATAGCGTCGTTGCAGCACGCAAAAATCGTTGCCGGCGCACAAAACCCTGCTAATTGCACGCGCACCCCTGTGGCATTGCTGCGCATAGGGAAACCTTATGCAGGCGAGGACGTGCACCACAAGCAAAGGCTGTTGTCGTCGCAGCAACGTTCTGTTGGGTACACGCAAGCCTGGTTGCGCAAATGCCCCGTCAGACACATGCACTTGACGACCATCGTTTGGAGGCACTATTCTGAACACAGCCCCTGGATTCGCAACATGATATAGCTGCCAAATGATAAAGCAGGCGGAGGGCCGCAATGCGCGCCATCGTCTCTTCTTGCTGCTACATGTTTCACAAATCCCCCTGCGACTGGCTTTCCTGGAGGAATTCGAACACGATAGACTGCAAAATGAAAAAGCTGCCAGATGATAAAGCAGGTGGAGCGCGACATTGTGTGCCATGGTCTGTTTCACCCATCCCCTGTCATTGGCTTTCCCACTGGACTCGGAACATGATAAAGATTCAAGGTGATAAAGCGGGTGGCGCAGTGGTTTTGTTGTGCGAGATTAGTTAAAGGCTATGGCTTCAAGCATTGAATAACAAGGTGGAAGACGGCGGGTAGCATCCAGCAGCGGGGTTGACTAAAAAGGTGTGTTGAAAAAGAAGTTAACGGGTTACAAGAACAGCGGTGGGGGGTGTCAAAAGAGGGTTAGGGAACTAAAAGGAAGAGGTTCTAAGGAATTAAATAGAAAGCTTTTCGGAAAGGATTAGAAAATGGATTGGGGCGGTTAAAGAAAAGGTCGGGCGGTTAAAGAAAGGTCGGTGGAAAAGAGGTTGGTGGTTAAAGAAAGGGTTGGTGGTTCAAAGGATGGGGTTCTAGGGAATGCTTTTGGGGATGTGTTGGGTATAGGTTAAACCAATGGCTGAGGTGTTCAACAAAGGAGAGCCCAAAACGTTGCCGGTGCACAGACGCTGCCAAGTGCACACACATGCCTGTTGCAACGGCGCACTATGAGCGAACAAGCTGTTGCGAGTGCAGAAACTGCCTGTGGCATTGTGGCGCATCCAATCATCCAACTTTGGTGGGAAGCTCTGGCAAAAGGCACGCCCCAAGTGCAAAAGTTGCTACCGTTCAGAGACCCTGCTGCGAGGTACGCGGAGCTACCTGTAACCTTGCTGCGCATGCAACACGGCGCTGCGACGAGAGATTTCTTGGTAGTGGAGACAGAAAGCACGCTACAAGTGCAGAAGCTATTACGGTTGCAGAGGTGGATTTAAGCACTGCCACCAAAATCATAGTCTCAGAAAAATATCTCCGATATTTTTGCTTGTCTGCCCTGCCCCCCCCGAATGCCGCACACAAGGATGAGCCCAGACAGCGCCCAAACAGCTGGACAAAATCCACACCACTCAGCCCAGACAGCGCCCAAGGTTCCAAACAGCTGCCGACAAATTGCGCAGCACTCTCAGCCCAAACAGCACTCAGGGTTCCAGGACGAAATTCCGCTTTTTCACCCCGTGGACCAACTGTGCACCACTCCCAGCCCCAGAGATTGAAACCCTGCATTTTAATGTTGGGAATAATATATATATTACATTATATATACAAATATACAAAATGAGTCTTCCATAATCTTCCATACTGATTTAAAGGTTGCCACACTCAATGCATGGCTTGTATCTGATAGCCACATGGCAAAATGCATCAAAATGCAAAGGCTTCCGGAATTCTGAGGCGAGTGACAGGTGTAGTGCTGCCCTTGCAAGCAGATCTGACTTTTCGATGCAGTCAGAAAAGTCAATGCCTGTGGAAACGAAACATTGCGATTTGATGTGAACTTGGCTCAAATGTTCAGCATTCATTGGCTTGGTCAGTTTATGAAAAGATCCGAAAACTGTGGCACTGCGCTGTTGAGTGCAACCCTATTGAAATTTATTGAAATAATGATCTACAAATGGAGAACAAGGAATGTCATAATCAGTTCACAATCTTTAAGGCTTTTATGCCGGAAAGTTCAGCCTTCCAAACGGAGAAGGTCTCGAAGTTCTTTCACACCAAGTGAACAAAGCTCCTTTGAAGGAAAAGTGGGCTTTCAGTTTCGTGTAGCTAAAGATTCAGCTCCGCTACAAGACACTGCTTCCTGCCTCACTAGCTCTTGTTTCATTGTCAACCTCTGGCTAGACCTGCCTGGCTCTTGGGTTTGCCAACTGTTACCCAAACAAAGCACTCAGCGGGGAGGCATCCCAGTAGCCCTTTGTAGGGCGTCCCAAATCGTTCCAAGTGCTTTGTCCAAAGGCTTCCAGCTGCACTATTAGAAACTCTGACGCTGGCACAGATTGGAGAGATAGCTTGCAGAAATAGACGGTGTAATTCTACGTGATCCTGATTTGCACTATTTCGTACAGGCGCTAGCGCAGATTGTTTTTGACTTAAGGGTGTACAAAGTAATGTTGGACAGGGCGGCCTCCACAGCTCGGGTCGGCAAAAAAGGCTGTAGCCCTGCTTTGGGTCTCATGGCCCAGGGTCCCAACCAGGCGGCCGAAACAGTCTTTGTATATACAGTACAGTAATACAGTCAGTAGAAATCAGTAGAAGGGGTTCTACCGCCTTGACTGGCCGGACTTGGGACACTGGGACCTTACAGCAGCTCACTGTCTGCGCTCATTCTGGCTCCTACAACTTGCAGTCCTGCATCGAAGACGGCACGCACCGAGCTGGCGGATTAGGATTCTTGGCTGCATTGAAGAACGTGGAAAGCCTCAAGAAAGGAAGCGCCATTCCTCCTATTATGTGCCATTGCCATAAATGTTAACATTCGGTCTCAAAAGAGAATCCTGCTAACGTTCGTTTGCCTTCAACACTGTGTTCGTCGAAAAAGACCGAAGCATACATCGAGGCGATGGCAATACTAGCAAGTATCTAAGTATCTGCTGTAGTCTGATTAGGTATCAGAAAGGACAAGAACCTGTCCCTTGGCACCTACATAGCTGCGCAACTAAACAAGAAATCCTGTGATGAGCAGTACGACCCAAAGAATGGGCAGTCCCCTGTTGCGCTTTTCAGTGGAAGATATGTGGAAATCGCGGCCTCAATCACGAAAGCTTCCACCAAGACACTGCTGATGAGCCAAGCTGTGCCCCAGCCTTGGAATCTTGGCTATTTGGAGCTGCTGATACTTCTGGCTCCGATGACATGGCTTGGCCACAGCTTGGCCTTCATAAGTGCAAATCTACAAAGGAAACCAAGCGCGGCACGCTGCAGACTTCTGCGCCCATTCCAAAGCTTCTTGGTAGTCTACCTCAGGGAGAATGGAAAATAGCTGTTGCATGCCAGGAAGAAAATCATGACCACTCAACTATAGGCTGCAAAACTTGGAAGGTAGGTAAAGCTGGTTGAGCCAGTATAAGCAGTGGGTGTGTGTGTGTGTGGGTGTGTCAGTTTCCTGCCTTGACACCGCCACTTCCTCGAAGCAATGCCAAACCATAGTTCAGCATTCCCTCAAGAAGTGAGACTTTCGAACTTTCGACATACAAAACTTCAAAACCGCTCCAATGGAACCCGCAAACATGATGAGCAATACAACGGTTGATGTGACGATATGACACAAACTCAATTGTATATATATATATATCATTTTTACTGTCATGAATCATGAGTATTGTAAGTTTTCTTGTGTCTTCTATGGTCCGCTCACATTTTCTTTAGACCATCAGACTTTTCTCTGTTTTTTGTTCATTTTTATCTTTCATGATCTTTCATTTTCTGCATATCCGGAATGAGATGTAAGGGAACAATCAAACCTCCACCAGTTGACAATGACCCGAAAAAACCTGGTGTCACATGACGTACATACTTGGCGCAAGGTTAAACTGTTCCAGCCTCTGCAGCACCGAGTTTTGCAGCATGACGAAACAATCTCACCTGCACGCTTGTGGGGAACGGCCATTGAAGGCTTTGCATGTTGAGCAATGTGAGGTCCCAGGTTGTGGGCATGTCATAGAAATGGGCCGATGGAGGTGTGCAAAATGTGATCTGGAAAAAATAGAGACAGTGCATAGCACGCAGGCGGTGCGGCTGAAGAATCAAGAGCAAAATCAACCGTATACAGTAAACTGGAAATTTCGGTTTGTAACCCCTGTGGTGACCAATTTCTAAACCATCTTTGCAACAAAATCAAGAAACAAAACGAAAGGCTGCAATTGACCGAACCAGTCACTGCTTTGGCTTCATCCTTCACCACTCCCATACCTCGGGCAGTACAGCGTGTGCGTTTCAATCTCCACCTTCCATGTATCGTACATAACATCATGACATGCGTCAAAAGGAAATTTGATCCTTCCAAGCAAACCCCCTTGCTGGTACGTAGGGATGTCTGTTTGATTATGCATGATAGTGCTCAAGCCGTCCGAACTGCGAACCATTCTTGAGTTTTTTCGATTCTTTCTGCAGGAAAGACAAGCGCAAATCGAGAGGTGCACCCAACGGTGAAAAGCCGTTTTGACTCGAGGTCTGCAGAAAAAGGCTGGCAGACCTGCTCAGCAGGTTACGAACCCAAGGTCAAGGATAGAGGAGGTTGATCTCCACGCACCCCTGTGCCCGAGCTGCAACGTCGCTGCAGCGGCGCCGGCGGCGAGCTCCGGGAGAACATGCAGAAGCAGCTCCCATTGTGGATCTTCAAGACAATCCCAGAAAGGGTCAAGGAACGATTGGTGGACACGCCGGCCTCGGAGCGGGACATCCTGCGGGTGAATCGCCGCATTTGCCGGAGGTCGAAAAGGAAAGGGTGCAGACTCCCGCTCTTTTCTTGAGCAAGCCGGGCATCGCGTCCATGTCTAGCAACCAGGTGCAACATGACGATCATCCGGTAGAGGAGAACATCGCCCAGGTGACACTTCGCCTTTTCCACCCCGTCTAAGGCCAGACACACCTGAGGGTTGCTTAGAGATGGACGATGACCGCAAAGGTCAAGTCAAGTTTCTGATTTCTGAAACAACCAGCAGAACATTCTGGAGGACAGAGTAACGGCGCGTCATGAAAGGGGCTCTTGGACTTGCAGCTCGCAAAGAAGAAGAAGAAGAAGAAAAAGAAGCACTCCGGGGCGTCGCCTATATGACCATGAACAAGACCTCGGAGGAGATGATCTTTCCTACCGTCCCACTTCTGATGAAGCCGACGAACAGGACATCAAGAAGTGGCAAAAAACGATCAAGCGAAGGATACTCTCTTCGACCAGAGATGGCCACCATGACGCCTGTCGCCTTGAAAAGAGCATGCGAAGCGCTGGCTGGCACTGAGACGACAAGGATATCCCGCGCCTCGCATCCGCACTGACGTTGGTCGTGAGTTCGCGAACAACCCGTTCAAAAGCTCCATGGTGTCTACAACGGAGATTGGCCACGCTCGAGGCCACGATAGCTTCAGGAATGCTCCATGCCCTTTGCTCGGTTTGGTCAGGCGATTATATATACCGCATGCAACAAAGCGAGCGGGAACGTGGAGGACCGTTCGAGGTGACATCCGAGACTGTGGCCTACCTCACTCAAGGAAAAGGAAGGTCAGATCAGAGAGCCTTGTGGTCATAGGAGGTTCACACCCAGGAGGAGCCTGCCAAACGAGGAGGCTGAATGAAAAGACCCCGTGCATCCAAGGGGTTGAAGATCGACTGCTTGGAGGACAGCCGGGTTCTCTTCCAGACCACATAGAAGCACGTTCCTTGGCCCGTGACAGATCACATGCTGGAAGGTGAAGTTCTGAGGCACTATATAGAGACAAGGAAGTGGATTAACGCCATTATATGAAGGAGATCCAATCCTTGGACACGCTGACCCCGATCCGGGCGATCGCTCAGAGGCGGCGCAACCCTGCGCGGCAGGAGCAGGCACTGCATGGCCTTTTTGAATGCTCCACTCCGAACTCTGCGAGGGAGTGGATAGAGAAGAGCGCTAGCTTTCGTGAAGAACATCAATGTGGAGATGATGAGCTCAGCTCGCCGACCAGGAGGAAAAGGAGGACGAACCTGCCAAGACGCGTGAAAGGCTATAGTTCTCACGGTGCCATGAAATGTGGTGATTTGGAAGGGTGAAATGTGGCTCAGGGAATCCCCAAAATTGTTGGGAGACAACAGGGACATCGAGATCAGTCAGGTGTCCTTCCAGGTCAACGACATCAAGTATGAATTCCAGCAGAGCTTTGCAGAAGAGAACCTGTGGCTGGTGAGGCGCACTGTGGATGATGTCACGCTCTTCGGCGACAGGGATAGTCAGTCAAGGGGGCTTCAAACTTGTCGTCGGACTTGGAAGACATCGGAGCCGACATGGGTAGGCCCAGGAGAACCGATCCAATACTGTGGCCTAGAGTCTAGAGATCAGTGCAGCTACATCAAGGAAGTCTTGCAGAGACACTCCATGGAAGATGTGGCTAGCACTCAAGTCATGAAAGATGGCCAAGAACCAGAAGAAGAGCTTGACAAAACTCAGGAACAGATCAAAGAGGCACAACAGCTCGCAACGGAACTTCTGTGGCTGGCCACCAAAACACGTCCAGACCTTGGATACGGCATACGCGATCCGTCAAAGCTGTTCCGCAACCAGCAGGGCACCCAAGTGGGCGAAGGGGGCCGCATATCAAGTGATGAAGCATGTCAATGGCACTCACGGTCTGGGACTTTGGCACCGACATGATGCCAACCTGAGCTCGGAGTCGAGGGTGGCTGTGGCGGAGACCTCAGATGATCAGGGAAGCGCTTCATCATCGTCATCAAGGCCACTGTTGACTACCACGAGGGTGGCTAGTGCAGCAGGAGGGCACCGTGAAGATGTGGCTGAGCCGCAGGAGCAACCTCCAACACCTCAGCGGTACAGCCAGTGGCCCAAAGCAGAGGCCGTTGACGAGCACCTCGACCCTACATGGTGTCTCAGGCCTGGTTCGCACCATCGGGCACGTGCTTCCGCAAGAGGCGAGATTTCCGAGGACTTTGGAATGCAGGACATGTGCAGGCCATTGGGATCTGCCAAGCTTGTCAGAGATCCACTCAGGGCCAGAGGCCATACAACCTCACAACATGGTTGTATCAAGGCGAGGTGAACCGTCTTCATACAGATCCCCGCTGTGGTGGATGGTGGGGGCGATGTTGGAAATCAGGGCTTGCAAGCTCTGTGGAGGAGGCGAAGCGGCTTGAGCTTGGCGCGGCTCTTTTCCAGAAACAGCCTAAAAGAGGCCCGCACAAATCGAGAAGCGTGCACCAGGTCAAACCCAACGGTGAAAAGCCGTTTTGACTCGAGGTCTGCAGAAAAAGGTGGCAGACCCGCTCAGCACTTTCAACATGTGGTCGAAATGTTCAAGCTGGTTTACAAATGTGTCCTTCTTGAAGAGACACTCTCTTTGCAAACATCATTTCTTGGACACCGTGCTGTTGACAATTTCACTACTGATGATCCCTAACAATATCAAGAAGTTGCTTGTCAGTCGAGCATGAGAGCTTCCGATACTTGGTCGGATCCACAAAATCAGTCTTGCATTGAAGTTTCATTGAAGGATCTAGCCTCAAACTGTCTTCTCTTGTTCCTGTTCTGCATGATCTAACGATGACTGATCTTTGACTGAAACTCATGACCAAGGGGTGGACAAGCAGGGCAAAAAAAAACGGAGGCAGTACCAAGCAAATGTTCCTCCTGGTCTCAGAGTTCTTTCAGGACACCATGAATTTGAAAGAGTTCTACCGGCATATTGTGCCTTGGGTATTTATTGAATGAATGCCACACAGGGACAAGGCATACAAGACGCATACAAGTTTTCTTGCTGCACTAGGAACCAAATCGATCATGCGAAAAGGAAGCTCGCCCCACCTAGAGAAAAACTTCCCCGATCCCGAGCCCTCTGCATCCAAGCCTAGTGGCTTCCTGGCGCTTACTAAAACATAATACCAAAACTACCTCCTGCCTACATCTGCCTACCCTACCTCTCCTTAACCCCCCACCCCCCCAAAAAAAAGAACTCTTGTAACTTGTAACTTCATGATGTTGCGTTTCTCAGTGGGAGCCGTGCAATGAGACCGTCTGAACGGTGAGCTTAAGCTGCCGGCCATTGATGAGCAAATGGCCGAGGTTGCTCAATGCCTCACAAAACTCTTTTAACACACTGTGAACATGCTCAAGCGTTTCGGAGTAGATTGCTTTCCTTCTTGCGGGGAATGTTTACGTCCGGCGTCTAGATTACTTTAATGTGCCGTGACTTGACATACTTGAACCATCTCGAGCCCATTCTCAGGTACAGTACCAAAGGAATCCCCATCACAAGTGCCTGTGCATCTCCTTGATGAGCCGCCCACTTCGTGTAGCGCACTGATTGCCGAAGGTCCTCGCAGGTGGCATGAGATGCTACGGCTGATGAACAAAATCCTGCACCTTCACCACGAGAAGAACACTTCCATGTGCCATGTACCCTCGTGCTCCCTCTGTAAGACTGCTTTGAGAAAAATGAATCAAACCGAAAAAGGTTGAATGACTGGCCAAATTCCTGCATCACACATCGCAAATGCAAAACAACATTGGGGTTGCGAGGGTGTATTTTAGTGGTGGACTCCTTCCATCGACACTGTGACAGGTTGTGACCAGTTTACTCAATTGGCTCTGCTCGAGTACACTATGGCTGGTTCGACTCTCCTTGTATGCTGTTCCCATGTTTCTGCGAGCCTTGGGGAACTGGAATTGGCCCTCCCGGTACAACTCAGCCACCTGAATGCGCAGTGACCACCCCATCAAACCAGCCAAAATGACAATCAAATCAAAACGGGATGGCTCAGGATGACCATACATCGAAATAAAGAAGACCCAACGATCCACCAGGAAAAGAAAGACACTGCTCAGGACACCCACTGGTTTTGCTTGAATCTTGCCATACTAGTAACAATAAGCTAGTAGTAACAAGTGCATCGCTTCTAGTAACAAGTGCCTTACTAGTAGTAACAAGAAGCTAGTACTTGAATCTTGCCTAGTAACTACAGACTGACCATACTTTCAGCCCTGCGCTTCTGGCTGCCTGGAAGCAAGCCCTGGGATGACCCTTGGCGCAGGCTGCCAAGAGCTTGGTCACCTGTAGTCTCAAACCACATCTAAATCATCTAATCACTGTGACACATTCAATTTCTTCTAAACGTCATGATCAAGCTCCATCCATCAATATAGGGGGCAAACGCCATCACGGTCTCCATCTTGCAGCAAGGCTTGGCCCAAGTGAAACCTTGACTGTCTTCAACAGCTTAACGAAACTCCTCTGCAGCGTCCCTGCTGGTCCTGTTCTTTCGGAACAACAAATACCATAAGTACCATCAAGTACCTGTAGCTTCTTGGCTTGATACGCGGCATCAGGATCGTCTTGCTCAAAAGCAAGTCGAAGCAACCGTTTGCCTTCCCAAATATCCTGGATGATCAAAGTTTTTCGAAAGAACAGAATCACCTGTTCACACACCAAAGGTCATGAAACTTTGAAGGTTCTGTTGAATGGCAAACTGCTTCATGGTCCTGCTGCAAGCGGCCTGGCACGCCCTGCATCAGCAAGCTGCCCAAGCGACTCCTTGACCTGTATTGCAATTCGTGACCGGGGTCAAAGGTGCTCTGCCGATTGTTTCCTAAAAGGTTATATAAGTGTCCCTAAAAAACTAGGAACCAGATCATTAGTGCGAGCGCTTCTTCAGGAAGCTCCCCCACCCCCGGGCGCGGAGAGCTTCCTGAAGCGTGAGCTATCCTGCGTCCAATTACTAGAAGCTTCACTAGTGCTAGGAGCGTGTTTACTCCCTTGCTTAATTGAGTAGGCGCCTACTTAATTAAGGTGGCAGGGGCCACTCGGGCCAAATTATACCAGCATAGACACCAAGCAACTTAAGGCAAGAATCATTGTTGTCGTGGGCGGCCGCAGCCCCAGCCCCTCCAAGGCAAGCAACGTAAACAGCATGACAGCAGCAGGACAACAGAAACACCAGAGGAGGACATAAGGAGGACAACAGAGGACAAAAGGATGAGGGTAGGAAAACAACACGAACACCACACACACCAAAAAAAGGAGAAAAAGTGACCGGACAACGCAAGGACAACAGAACAACATGAGGGGAGCACGCCAAGAGGAGAACAAGAGGAAGAGAGAACAAGAGAAAAACAAGACGATGATGGGAGGAGCACGACCGCGGTACTGCGGTCTTCGCGCCTGCCGGCTGGCGCTTTCCCACTACGTGTGCACTTGCTTTCTCGCATTGGACCCTTTGATTGTGTTTGGTGGTGGTGTCATGTCTTCATGCAGCCATGCTGCCATCTGGACACCGGCAGAAGGACAACAAAGGGGCAACAGGACGAAAAAACAGAGAACAACAAGACAAGGTCTGGACTGGCTGGCAGCCGCAGCCAAGCTGGTGTCAGCAAGAGGACAAGAGGACAAGAAGAGCTCAAGAATGCCGCGGCCAAGCTGCCAGAAGAAGGACAAGAAGAGGACAACAGGCACACGAGAGGAGGACAACGTCTAGACACTGCGATCAACAGTGCCAGGAAGACTAGAGGAGGACGAAGAGGACAAGAGAGGACACAGGGTTGGCCAGCGCGGCCAGAGGACAACAGCAGGACAATTGCAAGCACCAAGAGGACAAGAGAGGACACAGGGTTGGCCAGCGTGGCCAAAGCACAACAGCAGCAGGACAATAGGAGGACACTGTCACAGGTTGGCCAGCGCGGAGGACAAGAATAGCACAAGAGGAGGACGGAGGGTTGCACAGGGTTGGCCAGCGCGGCCAGAGGACAACTGCAAGCACCAGGAGGAGAAGAGGAGGACAAGACCCGGACGCAGCGTTCCTGGCCAGCTCTTTTTTCTCCTGCAAGTATATGAGAGAGAGAGAGAGAGAGAGAGCGAGCGCCTGCTTGTTCTCCCTTCAAGCTGCACGATCGCAGGCCTGACCACAGTGAGACGCTAACCGGAAAACTACGAACGAAGTGCGCGAACGAAAAGGGCAGAGGGACCTAACGTGTACGAACAACTCATTCGGGAAAGCACCACGAAGCGGGAAGCAGTGCAGAAAAGTCTGGAAGAAGGAAACCACAGCATGCTCAAAAACAGTCAAAAACTGCGGATCCTTTTGCCAAGCTTAAATGGCGGCCTTCATGTAACACCTTTGGTGTACAACATGTATGTGCATGGGTGAGTGCTTATTCATTTCATTCGCACTCCTCCTTCGGTCATTGAGCTTCGGCTCCTTGACCGACTTACTTCATGAAGTTAAAGCACTCTTCCATTTTAGGATAGAGTTTCCGTTCCATGGCCCAATCCTCCTTTCGGGAGTAGTGGAACCAACTCGCCTCTATCCTCGTCAGCTCATTACGAGCCTTGAGTTCTGTACGTGTGCCAACTTCGTTCAGGAACTTGTAGTCTTGCTCCGGGAGCTCGATTGGCTCTGGATTCCACTCAACTCCTTCTGGCTGAGTTCCAGCTTCACTCATGTTTTCATCATCAGCATCTTCAGCCTCTGACATTGGGATCGGCTCCGGTTCAGTTGTTTCCTGTTGTGGCTCCAGGTACTCAACCGGAATCTCCACCCTTCTTCCATCTTCCAGCTCAACTGTTGCTGTATCCCCTGACAGCAACGGCTGCTCTGCTCCTGCCCTGTCATCCGCACCATCATCTGATGACATGGGCTCATCTTCTCCTCTTGTCGCTGCCGTTGGTCGCTGAGGTAGTCCATCTGCACCGCGCTCTTCCTTCGCTTGCACTACCAATGCCCATTGCCTCTTCATCCTCAGGCCATCGTGCCTTCTGTTGACCTTCTCCATGAACTTTAACTTGCTCCACTCTTCAGGCTTCACTGATTCATCTTGCACGAAGCCGTCCACATAGACCAAGCCTTGGTGAATCCTCTGGGCATAGTCTGCCTGCATACTCCATGTAAGCTCCAGCTCATTGAAGCTATTGGAGAAGTCCGCTCTCTGAACATCTAGTTCATCTTGTAGCCTCCTCATTGCCCATTCCAAGTGCTTGATCTTCTTCCACATCCATGCGAATCCAGCTGCTACGAGGGCCACTGCAATGAAGACTAGCATGATCCTCCACCCCATATAGGGAACTTCTTCTTCAATCACTTGCTCATCTCTCGACCCTGCAGCCAGCTCAAGACCGCCAACAATCAACAATCTGTTGAGGAATTTTGCCATCTTCATGATGCGGCCTTTCTCGAAGTGCTGCTCCTTGAAGTTCTCATGCTGGCTCTCTCCAATGCGATGCCCATCTCCTGCTCTTGCATTGCACCAATACAGCAATAGGTCTAGCCTTGCTCGAGATAGGGGTTTTGTGCCGATGTCAGCCACGTTCAAAGCTGTATTGACTTGTTTCACTGACATGCTGCCATCAGCAACTTTATCCTGGCACCATAGGAGTTTTCCAGATAGGTGACGTAGCTTTCCACTTCCTCTTTTGCAGGCGATCTGTCGGGTTGCTGAGTTGTCCACCCAACAAATGTGCTCCACTTCCTCCTGGGTGAGGAACTCCAGGCTGTGCTTCAGGCAAATCCCATCGCAAGCTGCTGCAACCAATGCGTTCAGCTCACTCTCTGCAGAGCTCAGACTTATTGTCTTCTGCCCTCGAGAACTGCTGTACACTATCAGCCCATTGACTGCGTGCACCGCTGATGAGGTAGATCTCCTTGTGGACTTGCATCCGGACCAGTCTGCATCACTGAAGGTCTCCAACAGCCATCCTTTCTCTCCTCTGGTGTTGATGCCTTCTCCTCTGACTGGATTTGGAAGCAGAATGTGTTGATGTTCTGTTTCCTTCAAATAGCCCACCAGCTTGCGCATCCTCTGCACTGCCACCTCTGTGGGACTCGACATTTTGCTTGCAAGCTCCTTGATGGTGTAGGCTATGTCCAGTCGTTCCTGAGCTAGATAGATCCCCATTCCGGTGATGGACCTAAAAGCTGTTGCTTCTTGGTATCCTACCAAACTTGAACTGTCTGCGTCCTGGATGTCTGACGACGCTGGGATCCTCTGTCTCTTTGCTTGTCCAAAGGTCTCCTCAAACAGCGCAATCATCTTGCCGGCGTATTGTCCTGGTTTCACCAGCAAACCTTCTGGGCTTAGCTTGTAGGTTCGCTTGAGGAACGAGAACTCTTGGCCGTTCTCCTCCACTCTTGATACCTCAACTTCAAACTTCGCTTTGAGCCTGTCCACAAACCTCTCCACTGCCTTATTGCGTCCAGTGAACATGATATCATCAACATGTATCAATACATGGACTCTGTCTCCTCCTTCTCCGCATCTTCCGAGGCAGGGATTGATCACATCAAAAGTAAATCCATGATCTTCGATGAGGTGCTTTTGTACATGCTCAAACCAAGCCTTTGCACCTACCCTCTGACCTGGCAAGTTTCGTAGCACCTTGTACTTGCCTATGCTCGTGGAAATTTGCAGCGGTCTTTCTTGGGGAACCTGCAGAAAGGCATCTTTCACATCCAATGCGCCCAGCACTGCTCCTCCACTGCTGCTATCCATCTCCTGATCCCTTTCTCTCATAGTGAGGAAAATCATTGGGAGCAGCCTCAGTGAATAGCTTCCACTCGCAGGGCTGTAAACATCATCTCTCTTGTCATTCGCAAACTCTCTCGCCACTAGGCGAGACCTTCTCAGCCATCTCTTCACCTTTGTTCCATCTTCCCTCACACAGGTCTTGATACGCCAATCTCTGACAAACTTCGTAGTAAGCTTGTCCAGCATCATATCTGCCGTCTCTAGATCGGCAATCACCCCCATTCTTTTCAGCCTTTGCTCCTCCACCTTGTCTGCCAGCTGCTCGATGGTAGGTGAAGGTTGAGGTGGTGTCCTGTTGAGGGGTTCATCACTCCACAGGGCATCAGGAATCGCTCCTGGTTTCAGGTCCTCAACATCCTCTTGCTCACCATCCGCTTCCAGGGCTTCCACATCTATCACTTCATCTAGGTGATACATAGTCTCCCCTTCGAGGCTCACTGCTTCAACTCTTCGTTCCACCATCTCCTTCCTTGCCGTGCTGGATGATGATGTGGCTCCCTCTTCCTCAATTCTTTGTTTCTTGAAGCTTTCCATTCGAGGCTTCTTTGCTTCAGGCTCACTCTTGGCCGCCGATGGTGGCGGTGGTGTTTTCCTCAGGAATCTCTCCTCCTGAGGACCCTTGTCTTCTTCCCACGGCATGGGGGGAACTTCCATCGGAATAAATCCTTCTGAGCCCTCTCCTCCAGGGTGCGTCATCGCAAGAACTGGAGTTGTCGGCAATCCTAGGCTTTGCTCATCAACTTGTGGGGCTCTTGGGGCTGGTACCCCACCTTCAGCAACCAAGGTACCCGAAACTGCCTCCTCCGTTGCTCCAAGCATCATCTGGACCTCCTGGATCTCTTTCTCTGCCTCTTCTTGACCTTCTTTGGATCTTGCATAATCCTCAACTGCCTTAGCCTCCTCGTCAAACTCCTGGTAGAGAGTTGGGTCCGCTGGCAGGCTCTTCCTCCTCATATTCAAGGGAATGGGTCCCACCGCACGTTTCGACGGCACAATTCGCCCGCCGAAGTTGACTTGGAATTCCCAGCTGTGTGCAGTGAAATCCCTGAAGTATGTCATGAACTTGGACCAGGGCCTGTCAATGCGTCTTACCGATCTGGTCAGCAGCACATTCTGCCCTTCTCCCACAGCCCATGCATCTTGGCCTTCAGTCTTTCCCAGAAAGATGGCCATTCTCCACCTCGGATTGCCTTTGCCAGTGAGAGGCTTCAAGTATGCATACACTGGGCACCCGAATGGAACCAGCGGCGACTCATATGACCTTCCTTGTGTCAGTTCGAAGCTTGTGACTCCTCGACTGGCCTGGTATCTATTCAGGGTCCATGCTGCGTGACGCGCCGCCCAACTCCATAGGGCGTGGTTGCTGTTGAATCGTAGTCCAACCTTCTTCATCAATGACTCCATCAATGTACCAGCCAATCCTCTGATCCTCTGGATTGCGTTCTCTGCCAATGAGTTGCCTGCTGAATCCTTCACGCGGGTTGTATAGATCCTCGTCCGGAGTCCGAGTGCATGGCGGGAGTTCAACAGAATGCGCAAAAGGGCCCTCATTGTTGGCTCGTTGTCTGCATACAAGCCCACTTCTGTATGGCCCAAATTCTGAATAAAGGTCATCGTCTCCCTGCACATCAGGCTCAGCTGGCCCTTCGATTGCAGCGGGACTGCTGCCAGTGATCCTGTCTGGCTGCAAGACAATACCAGCCAGAGGGCATTCTTCACCTCCTTAAATCTCATCTCTGTTCCTCCAGGTAGGTCTTGATTCCGTGGTGCTTCCTCCTCTTGCTGCAGGTCTACTACCTCTCTCCCATCTTCCTCCATAGCCATTGGTGCTGGACGGTCCATCTCTCCTGCCTTTGTATAGCAGAAATCCATACTGACAATCGGTATGCCAGATAGCCTTGCTGCTCCAGTGCGGAGGTGTCTGTCTGGCCGTCCTCGATGCATCAAGCACGTCTCACACCAAGGCTGATATGGAGTGTGGGTCAGCTCATGCAGAGCTTGCTCTTCATCCGAGGGCACTCTCACTAAGGGTTGTGCTCTCGGCCTCCTTGCAACCTCCATTTCAGCAGCTGCCACTGCTGCTGATGCCGCCTTTATCTCAAGCTCCTTGATGTAGCTCACCAACCTCTGGTAGCATTTGAGCTTGCTGCCGGAAGTGCTTATGCCGTAGAAACCACATGCCGCTCGAAGTTCACGCAGCTTTGATTCCTGGGTCAGCTCTATCCCATTGACCATGAGACTCCCAGGCATTGCTCCTCCTGCGACCAATCTTCCTTCTTGCTCAATGCTCTCCTCTCTCACAGGCTCGTCATGAGCCTCCTCGACTCCTCTGCCTTCCTCTATGGGCAGCTCCTCATCTCTCCTCTCCACTGGCTGAACAGCCAGCTCCATTCCGGTGTCAACCTCAAATCCTAGCTCCTCTGTCGTGCAGCTTTCTCTCGTCAAGATGGTCATCGTCAGGACATTCTCACCCTTTGCCTCCTCGATTATCTCTTCCTGCTCTGTGAGTCCATGTAGCGCCTCACACAGCTCCACCATCTGCCAACGGCCTTGCTGTTTGATCAGGGTCGTCCTGCGCCAACTCACCCTTGAGTTGATCTCCCCATGATATTGGGGCGTTTGCAATCTCTTTCCCAGGTGAATCCCAATCCACCTGTCTCCGGCTCTGACCCATCCACTCTGCATTCTTGCCTTGTCCTCTAGCTCCTTCGTCAACTTTGTCTCGAGCACCCTGACTGTGTACGGTACGGTTTGAATAGCCCGTACGTAGCCCTCTGCAATGAGGCTCCTGTTCTGCAGTTTCAAGGGGATCCTGATCTGGTGAGAACCTCCTCCATATGTCAAGACTCGATCCTCTCCATCAATTCCCCAACCTGCTTGCACCATCTTCCCAAAAGAGATGATCGGCTGATTGATGCCCTCTGCAAAGTGGGCCTTCTCATGAATCTCAACCTCCGTCCCTTGCTCCGTCCTGAAGCAAAAGCATACATTCTTGTATCCCTTCACCTGGATATGCTCTCCTTGAGCATCCTGGAGACGAGGGGCTGATTCTGAAAGCTCAGCTCCAACTCCAAGGAATGAGGCAGGTAGGACCGTGGCATCAGCTCCAGAGTCCACAATGACCTGGCATAGATCTTGGCCATCTCCAAAGTAATCCTCAGTCTCCGTCTGGACCACACAAATGCCCAGCGGAATTTCTTGCTCCTCATCTCCAGCCGTCTCGTCCACGTCCATGTCGTAGAACTTGACCATCCTGATGTGCTCCTCCTCTTCGCTGATGGACCTGAGATCAAACACCATCAACTCATTGAATTCCTGTGAAACTTGTTGTGAGACTTCTTTGATCCTCTTGATGGATGGGGTCTTTGTCGTCGTGGTCGGTGAGGTGTATGTGCCTCACCTTGGGATGCGCTCGGACTTGCTTCGACCTGTCTCACCACCCTCCAGCAATCCTTTGCTATGTGGCCGGGCTTCCCACATGTGAAGCAAGTCTTTATTGGGCTCTCCTTTGTCTTCCCCTTTCCATCTGACTTCTGACCCTTTTGGCCTGCCTTTCCTCCTTCTTGACCTTTACCTGGTGCCTTGCCCTTGCCTTTGGTGCCCTTCTGATCACCCTTTCCCTTTCCTTTGCCCAGTCCTCCATCCTTTCCCTTTGACTTGCCTTTGCCTTTGCCCTTCTCGGCGATGCGGTCGATCTCCATGGGAGCTGGTCCTCCCGTGTCCTGGTTGAGGATCATTGCATTGGACCATTTTGTGGTGGCGTGGTCATACTGGACGATCGCCTCCCTCAATCTGCTGTAGCTCTGCGTTTCTGCCACCTGTAATTGAAGCCATGTCTTCAATTGGCCTCCAACACACCTCATCAAGGTGGCAAATTTGATCGTCTCATCAAGGCGAGCTCCAGTCTTTTCGTACTCGGCATAGGCCTCTTCCAATTTGAGGAGCTGATTCAAAATGCTTCCTTTCCTCATGTCAAACTGCCCCCACTCCAAAATCATCGTCAACAGTCCAAGGGACCTGTTCTTGCTCGTCGGTTCCAGGCTCTGGATTAGAACTCTGTAGGCCTCCAGGCCATTTGAGTCCTTCACCTGCTTGATCAAAGAGAGGGGTCGATGACGTAGGAGAGAGGCCAGCAAGGCATATAGGAAGCTACCTCGCTTGCGCTCTTCATCACTCTGCAGCTCCGTGGTGATCTCTCTGTCCACGTTTGACCTGAGCTCCTTGATGTCCTCAATGTAGTCTGCGTCCATTGAGGACAAATATTGCTCCAGGCTCCACGAGAAATCTCTCCACTGTGTGATTTCTTCCTCCCTCGATTTCGGCTCGAAAGAGGGAGGTCGTGGAAGGATGCGAAACCAGTTTCTTTCCTCCGGCCTCTTTGACACTGCATCTGCTGCAGCCTTGGCAGCTGCACCGGCTGCCTCAACCGCTTGCACCATCCTCCGGGCGATCTCGGCCCCATCAACCAAACCTCCTGCTCCACTACCAGTGGGAGATCCTGGTAGTTGAGATGTCTCCAAACCGGCCATCACCGCTCGATCTCACCCTCCTTATCTTCAAAAGCGGTGACCTTCAGGTGGCTGTAGGGATTACGGGCAAAGAAGGAAAAACTTGTACTTCTCGGTGAACTCTTGCGCTGATTGCGAGCTGTTGGATCTCCGCCCAACACTAGCCAGGCACCTATGGCTTCCGCACGTGTGCGCGGCCGGGCCACCAACCAGGGGATTGGGTCACGTCCCCAAAGGATCCTGGAGCCTCAAGCAAGAGCCAAGCAATTGCTATCCTCGGCTCCGCTACCATGCGGATCCTTTTGCCAAGCTTAAATGGCGGCCTTCATGTAACACCTTTGGTGTACAACATGTATGTGCATGGGTGAGTGCTTATTCATTTCATTCGCAAAAACACACCTGGCCCCATGCCAGAAGCAAGAAAGCAAGCACCAAGACCCCACACGAAATCTCGTGTTAGCAATCATACGAATCTGAGCGAAAATAGGGGCAGGTTTGGCCAACTCATTGCCTTTAACATTCCTAACGGTCCAAACGTAATATGCCCATCTGGCAACACTCAAGCCGATATCAAGACCTGAAAACTTACGAAAGTGGAAAACAAGCTCAAGCCACGAAATGTCACAAAGCCGAGGAGACTTAACATCTCTATTCCATTTCAAGCTACGAATCCACTGCCAAAGCTTTTCCAGGTATATAGATGGGATCTACCGAGCCAACATCCGCCAACTGTCAACTTGAACTGACGTGCCAAAAGTGGGAAAGCTGACAATGCCGCTTGGTACTAAGGGTTCTAAGACGTACTAAGAGATGTATTAACTTGGCTGCTTCATGTTCCATGTTTGGTGGTAGACGTATCTACCAACCCAAATGACTTGGATCCAGTGCAAGAACTTGGACAAATCGTAAAATAACCAAGTGCTGCGTGATGTTCAGCTTCACCTCTCTCCAAGCGTTCTGCTCTGAGTTTGCAGTCGGGGCTTGTTGATGTCTTAATTCCTCGTCACCTATAGAGGTCAGACTCCCGCGTCACGGTTCTCAGCAGCCCACCGGCAATGCCCCAGCTCGGCGGCACGACGCCACAGCTCCACAGACGCAGAGGAATTCTGACTCTCCTGCCAGAGGTTCAAAGTGGAAGAAGTAGGTGCGTCAATAGCGAGTATAAGTAGTGATTTATTAAGCAAAGTAGGTGGGCAGTGTCAAACGATCCGACAACATGGCACGAAGATGCAAGCTGATTGTTTGAAAGCAATCCCACAAGCACCACGTAGGACCCGAGCAATGCTAGCATGTCAATATATAATTGCGTGTGGACCGGGACGAAACAATTTGTCAGGAACTGCCTTGAGATTTACTACTTTAATCTATACTGCGTTAATCCACTCTACCAGTATATCTATTCCTGAACATGCTCAGAGTCAACGATGAAAGGTAGATTGAAGTCTTGCTAGGGCTTGACTATCTGGACGCTACTCAGCTTGGCTTCTCAACTCTCTCCTCAAGTCCAAATGGAGAATCCCAAAACCATTCAGCAGCAGTGTAAAGCGCTTCAACGTGATCCTGCTCACACGCCTGTGCTGCGATTAGACGCGAGGAACTAGACAAGGATACCACAACGACAGCCTTACCTATTCCATGGATCCTCAGATCCTCCGGAGAAGGGCTTCCAGAAAGGTCGGAGGCCATCACTATTAAGTTGGAGGCCATTGCTTCTAGGGTGGAGGCCATTGCTCTTAGGTTCCTTTCCATGGATCCTCAGATCCTCCAGACAAGGGCTTCCGGAAAGGATTGAATCAGATTGCATGATTTCTCTGATACTACAGTGCAGCCCGTGATAAGCCGCAACGTAACTGTCTCACTCCGTCCAAGAAGTGGCCAACCTTCTCCACAAATTCTTTGGCTGCTGGAAAGTCCTTCTTCACCAAAGACAGCGCATGACCGAAGAGCCCGTCAGGATCCCCAACTTCCACCATCTTCCTCACGCAGACCCGAATGTACTAGTGGACCACTCAGCTAGGTTCAATTATATAGATCAATGTTTTTGTGCAAGTACAGAGGAAAAAGGCCGTAGGGAATGCCAAGGGCCAAGAGTAAGACGGATCCCGGATACCAATGGTGTTTGAATATGTTTGAACATTGGGTGGATCGGAAGCTCAGGAAATTCATTGAACCTGGTAGGCAAACATTGCTGTGTCAGTTGAGATAAAAGGGCCCTTGTCGCAACCTGAACCTCAAAGGATCTGAAAGGTATGGTGCGGCGACTCCGTTGCAAAGAGGTTGGTTTGTCAGTCTGTCAATAGCTTGCAAGGACAAAGGAACAAACCATCACTCTCAAAGAAGGATCGGCCAGTCACTACAAACCAACAATATTAGCAAAGACCGAGGGTGGCAGCTTGTATTGTTTCCTGTGAAATTGCAAGCAAGGAACGAATACCACGGGCAGGATCCATCTGCAACTGCTTGCGGAGAATCCTTGAAGTGCAATACCAGCTCCAGATGAGATCCCTCTTGCACATCAACACCGTGGCACAGATCATATTGAAAAATACATAGATCTCCACGACCGAGCTGCAGGAATTTCCGGTCCACAAAAGCTTTGCCAGAACCTTGCAAAAAAAAACCACCTGCAGGCGGGGCCAAGATCAATGCTGGATTCAATGAACACGAGCTTTAACTTGACGTATCAACTATTAGATAGGTGATAGGGTCTTTATGGGTAGACAACTACGGGATGCTCATGATGAGCCCACCTGTGTAAGATGCTGACTCCTGCAAAGCAATCGTCATCACCGCAAACGAATCATACTCTTGGTGTGGAGGAATAAAGCGGCGTTCCTTCAACAAGAGTGCACAATCAAGGTTCGATCCTTCAGCCGTTTTCAACACTTTTGGGACTTTCTGCTCCGCTCCTCTGGAACAAAACGTCTGAAACATGCTGATGAAAGCGCCGCTGTCTGGCCATATTTCTGCCGCACCAGTGGAAGCAACACCGTTTCCACAAGGGGCCGTAGAGCTGAACCTTTTCCGTCCAGAACTCCAAGTTCGGCCACTTCCACAGCAAAACCTTGGAGTTTTGTTCTGCCTGAAAGCAAGCCCCTGAATTGGCGCATTTGGTTGCTTGCCAGAATATTATGCCACCACCAAGAAAGTTTGTAAGGTTTAAAACATCAAACCAATATGAAATGTGTATATAAAAATGGTAGCCCTTTGAATCTGCCCCCTACCACTAACTACAACCACAATCTTAAGCACGAGAATGTGCACGACAACTTTTGGTGCCAAAAGGAACTGGGAAGATGGCTGCGCTTTTCATGAAACCCCTTGGCAAACACCCAATGATTTGTTCACCTCTATTTTCAGTCTGGTCTGTAAAAATCGTTTTAGTTTTGGGGGGCCTTGGCTGGATGGTTGCCTTTGGAATGCTATTGGCGGGCCTGCCTAGCCGGGGGGGTGGGTGGGCGCCTTTGAATTAAATTGGGCGGTCTTGCCTTTAAAGTCCTCTTCGCACGAGGCTTGGGAGAGGGGAGGGGGAAGGGGAGGGAAGGGTGGTTTGTTTGAAAGCTTAATCCTAGGTGGGCCCCTGCCCACAAAAGGAAAGGACAGGGAAGGAAAGGCAAGGGATGGGATGGGAAGGGCAAGGGAAACGAAAAGGAAAGAAAAGAACAAACAACAGGAAACAAATACTCGCAGGTTGTGCGATTTCTTGCGCTAATTCTGACCCACGGTTGTGCGATTTCTTGTGCTCATTCTGACCCGAGGTTGTGCGTTTTCTTGTGCTCGTTCTGACTTAAATATAGCGCCTTTGAGAGTTTTCTTGCGCAAGCGCTCACCAAGGCCACAAACGGTAGTCTGGACAGCCTTGCTTGGCGCAGAAGCCGAAGGCCGCAGTTTCTGGAAGAATGAAAGAGCAGCAAAGTGAACCTGAAAAAAATGTCCTTGCAAAGCAAAAACATCATTCTGGCCACAGAGAAAAGGCCAAGGAATGACCATTCTTCGTCATTGTTAGTATATTTACTTTGGAGTGCTTTAGGGCCGACCGAGTTGCCATTTATGTATAATATATAATACAATAAAAAACTAGAAATGCAATAATACTATAACATACTATAATATATATATATATGTGTGTGTAGGGTGCGTGGTACAGTGGTACCCCACATATGCCTATGTTTGGTCTATGTTTCTGGCATGTAGAGTGCTTGACAGGTTTTGGGAGTACGAGTGAATCCTAGCACTTGAGGCAACTTGGACAATCCAAAAAAAACAATGTTTCCTTCGTGTGAAGGCTGCAGAATAACTGCTCCAAGTACAACTGCTACAAGTTGGTCTTGGCTAAGCGGTTCACATACGTGTATGTCTGTCTGTACTCTTTCTTTGCGCGACCTTTTGTGGCAAAGCGTGCTATCGAGGGAACCAGAGGCGCAGGTCCTTAGACTTGCCCGCCTCACAACGCTTTCTGAGCTTCGGGGTGAGCTCCACGCGATCATCTTGAATCCTCGCCTTTGCATGGCATCTTGTGCGCTCAGCTCCGCTTCCTATCCTGGCCTTGACGTGGGCGACATGCCCATTCCAGAGCCGCCCAGAATCCAGCGGTCGCCCACGAAGTGGCTGAAGGCTTCCATTTGTTGGAGTGAGCCAGGATGTAAGCCTTGCCCTCCGTGCATTTCGATCGTGAACTCCCGGCTGACCCCTTCTTGTGCCTGGATGAGGTCATGGATTCATGGATGATCACATTGCGCGCAGTGCTTTGGGCGCACTTTGCAGTGAGCACACTGGACTCCACTTCGAAAGGGCTGCAGCTGTGGCCTTGATGAGTTGGCGCAGTCCACAGGCGATACAAACAGGAGGTGAAAGCTATGGGTGAGCACGACAATGTTGGTGAACCGGAGTTGTGCCCGTAGGAGACCGGAGAGCAGTTTTCTCCATCTCAGTGAGGAGCTGTGCCAGGCGATCGGCCGCTGGGTATGGCACATGGCGGAGCATGTCACAGGAGATGCCATCAGGTCCAGCAGCCTTGTTGGGTAGCCTGCGCGTGAGCTTTTGCAGGATGGAGGAATCAATGGCCTGGAGACTAGCTGCCTGCAGCATGGAGCTGGCCGACCCATTGACCTGACAAGGTTGGGTGAGTGGTAGGCGGATCTCTGCCCACTGCTCTTCGCGAGCCGGAAGCCGTTCAGTGGCTGGAAGATCTTGGAAGGGTCTGCCAAGGTTTGTCTTTCTGCCTCAGGCCGCGGAACTCGTGGAGCTGAGAAGGCACTTGTGAGCAGACGGCTCCTCTTCCAATGATGCGCCTTGGGATCTTGCTTTGGCTCCTCAATCCATTGATGCAAAAGGTCTTGAAAGAGGTCAAGTTGCATATCATCAGAGGCACGCTGATAAAGTTTGAGATCTCGAAGAACTCCTTGGTGATGGGAGTGGTGCGCCACATTGGTGCGGTCATTGAACTCCTCCCAAGTTTGGGACTTCTTGGAATCCACCAATGGCGCTTTGTAGAGGGAAATGTTGGATCCTCTAGACTCTAGCCAAAGTTTGCTTGTGAAGCAGTTGAGTCAGGTCTGTGTTGCCCGTCTTGCCAGGTCAGAACCCAGGCCAGTGATGAGGTTGTCCCCGGTATAGAAGGGTCCATCCGTCTCCGTGAAAGAGGTCCATTGGCAGGGCAGCTGAAAGGTTCCGGCTGGTCACAGTCAAAGTGCAAGACCAAAGGGGCCTCCAACAAGGTGGAGAGCAACAGGAAAGCTATCTGGCTCCCTTGCAAGGTGGTAGGAGCTCCAGTGTCCATGATGGAGGCCTTGAACTTACTTTGAATAACAGTGGCTGCCACCGCTTCCGGTTCATTCTGCCAGTCCCCGCCAATGATGAAGGGAGGCTGCAGGTGAGCCAAGGGAGGTCACCAATTGGCCCAAGATCTCAGAGTTGAGGGCTGACTGTAGGGATTCTCCCGTCTTGAGACAGAGCTGGATGATGAAGACTTGCGTCCCCCTGCCTCTGCATGCCATAGGCGGTCCATCCATTGTCCTCCTTCGTGAAAGTAAAAGCGTGATGGATCAGGTGCTTGGGAGAATGCAAGGTGAGGTGTATGTCTGTACCTGTATATATGTATACATATTGCGAGCGAAAAACACGAGCGGAAGGAGTCAGCACACAAGTGATCGCTCCTTTTTCAAAAACCGCAGGGGGCCTTTGAGCGCTGTACGGATGGCGACGAATTGTGGAACTGAGCATGCCGCAATTTGCACTGGTGGACATTAAATTAAACAAAGAGGAACAAAAACCAAGAACCAAACACACTAGTTTTCCATAGGTTTTATCCCAACAGCTTTTCTCTTTCTTGCTGACCTCATATTCTCGTCGTACACTATTCTCCACTTCTGTCCCAACTTGAAATATAATTGTAGTTGTCCCTTCTCTGTTGGTTTTGTCAACGAATTTCCAAGCTGAGCGTCTGAGTGAACCCATCTGAGTTCAGTCCCTGACTCTTCTGAAGAATCCTTTAGTGCCAACGCCTCTATGGTTGCCCTCTTTTCTTCTCCCTTGATTGTTGGAGTGTCCTTGTCCATTCTATCGTACAGGTTTTTGCTATCTGTAACAACAATGCCAGGTGAAAGTGCTACTATCTTGGCTGCTGACAATGTATTCAACACACACCTTGGAAAATGCATCTCTGACCAGAGGTATCTCATGTGATACAACTCGTCCTCTGCGTTGACCACGGCATGAACCTCTGCGCATGCAGGAGATCGGCACTTGCGTTCGATCTTTCCTGACTTCCAGCTGAGGAGAGAGACATTTGTCAAGGATCCATGTCTAAGAGCCTTTGGAGCAAGGCCCAGAACAATCCCTTCTGCGCTTGCTATGTTGTCTGGTCTGTTTGCCCAAGCGGCGTCACCCCATGCCACCAAAACAACATCTTCACCCTTTTGTAAGGCATGTATTTTGAGCTGCGGTGCGTTTCTCTGTACATCCTCTACTAGGTTGTTCAACTTCACAAGGTCCTGAACTGTACTGAGGGGGATTGTTGACACCAAGTAGTTCACATCTGCACTGTGCAAAACATTGGTTTGACCACAAACCCAACTCAAGCTTCCCAAGACTGCTCGCATCTGTGATTTCTCATTGTCTGTCGTGCTTTGTTCTCGTTGTCTAATGCGATCTCTAGAAAGTTTGATAGGAGTGAGTCCCTCAATAAATTCCTGTTGAGACAATGTGAACCCAAACTTGTCATCCTGAACCACTTTCACACCGCATTGAATGAATGGACTGTCCTCCCAAACACCCCACTGGAACTTTGCTTGTATCATACTCATCAAAATTTTGATGAACTGGATCACCGTCACAACCCGCGAATAAGAAGTCGTCAACGTGGCCACTAATGGCAGACCTTGGTTGTTGCTGTTCGTCGAAATACATCCAGATGCACGGTTCTGTCTTCATTCTGGTGTACCCAATAGAAAGCAAATAGTTTGAAACACTTTTGTACCACCACAATGGTGCTTCAACCAAACCATATGCTGCCCTCTGTAGTTGTGTGATGGACCCTTCTGGGATCTGTAGAGCTTCGCAGATCTCCTTGGTAGGTTGAACAAGCATCCCATTTTCCAGTTCATCTCCCTGGAGGAATGCAGAGCTGACGTCTCCCTTGCGCACACGGAAGTGATGTCTTGAGCAGAAAGCTAAGAATAGTTGTCTACCAGATCGGGATAGAGTAGGACTGGAAGTCTGTTTGTACTCGTAGTTCTTGTCTTGGTAGCCTAAGATCACTGCTCTGGCCTTAGCTTTCCTCGGACGTTCAGGATCATCCGTCAACTTCCAAGTGAGCACCCAGCGCATGCCGACTGCATCTCGAGCGTTTTGCAACTCCGGGGGCAACACTTTGAAACAATGGGATTGGATGTAGTTCCGAACCTCCTTACCTTTTGCACCTTGAAATTCTTCCAGTTCAGCATCTGTCATGGATCGTTCTCTAACCTCTATGTGGGATCTTTTGATTTGACTCACTACAAAGGCTTCTGGGTTTTGACAAAATCTCTTGAAGCCCCTGTTGGAGGTAGGGATGTCAACTGACACTTCAAACACAGTGAAAGTCTGCTCCTCTCCCATCTGCGCTGCTTCTGAAGCTGCGGGCATGTCGACATCTTGCTCATCCAGTCGGGGTCGGGCTGCTCGCTCTTCCGTAGATGGCATTGTCCTCTTTCCAACACATCGTCTTCTACCTGTGGGATGTTCTGATGCTTCTTGCCATTGTTGATTGTTGGGGATCTCTGAGGAAATATCCCAATATGTTGATCTCTGAGGGTGAGACGCCAAACTAGTAATAGTCCGTGGAATTTCGCAAGGACCTTTGAGCTCCTCTATCGCCCTCTCCCGACTGGATGCTGCTCGCAATTGCTCTGGCGCAGCTTTGATGAGCCGTCCAGCGCGATGCAACCACACACAGCTGCCGGGTCGGAGCTTGCCCCCATCATCAACTCTAGTCTCCGCTGCCAGAACGCGAGCTGGTCCCAAAAATTGACCAAGCCAGGAAAAGCCCTTGTCACCACCCCCTTGAACCTGCTTCCTCCAATAGAACACTAAGTCCCCTGGCAAAAATGATTTCAAAGGTCTGGTGCCTGCTGCTTCTGCTCTGGCGAGTCTCGCTTTGGCTTGGAATTTGAGAAAACTCTGTTCAGCAGCTGACATTGCCTGGATGTTCTCCTTGAAACCCCATCGACCATCTGCTGTGGGTGAACAGGATGACCCTCAATGTCACTGTCAAACAATCTTCCCCACTCATCTGGTGACCTCCCCATTGCATGCTGTGCTGGTGAGTAACCATGTTGGTTGTCCCTACTGTTGCATGCCCAGATGGATCTGTAGAAAAGTTCTGACACCTCCATTTCTGTGAAATCCTGAGCTAGGGATGTCATCACGTGTTTGAGTGCCTCAATTGCCTCTTCAACGACACCTATGCCTCGGCGGGTATGGGACTCAAAATGATGCCCCGTTCCTGGCAATAGGCAGCTGCTTCGTCACTTCTCCAGATTCCTTCTGGGTCGGCACGGATTTCTTCGGGCTGACCAAAGGATGCGAGCCAAGCTTCCTCGAACACCTTTTGAACAATGGGCCAAGTGGCTTGGTTGCGGCTGTTCTCAAACAGAATGCGACCTACCCGAAATCGACAACCCTCATCAATGAACAGAATGAACTTTACCTTGTGTTTTGTTTGAGGATGTGTCCAGGATCCCAAGTCACACTGTAGTCTCTGCCACTTCTTTGCCACTGTCTCCAAAGTTGCTTGTCGGTGTGGTGTTGTTCTCTTTCTCTCCTCGCAAATCACACACTTGAACTCGCGAGCCAAACCCAGAATCCTTTCAGGAACACCCCGATGCTTCAATGAGTTGACAAGGGTAGCAATGGAACCATGACCAGTCGTGCAGTGTATATGTCGTATGAGTCTCATGATTCGCTGTTTTTCTTCTGAAGTCATCTCTCCTTCGTTCACCAAGGCTGTCTCGTTCGGCTCTATACAAAAGAGAGGATCTTCTGGACTTGTTGACTCACTGAGCTCACACGCCAAGACTGACCAGGCCTCATGTTCTCGAAGAGCCTCGACCACCTTTTTCGCAAACACTGGTGTGTAATATGCTGACTGTGCTGGCCTACCGCTCTCACAAACTGTTTTCTTGTGATTTCGTTGACAAGGCAAGTGTAGATGTCTCAACAGGCTGGTATTTGCTGTGGCGATGCTCCAACCCTTACACATGAGGTCTCCGGTGTCTGAAGCCCTGAGACCAACACAACATCCATTGCATGTCACCTTGCGAAGACCCAATTGAGAAATGAAGGCCTGAATGCATGGAAGGCTCCACGCTTCGCACCGTTCCGAAAGCTCCCAATGCACTTGAGAACCGTGACGTCGACCGTAGGTGGCAACCTCGATTCCTCCCCCGTATTCTCTACGGGCATCTGTCTTTGCTCTGGGGTTCTCTGATTCAATCTCTGAAGTGGGGAATAGGGTCCACATCCCCCTGTGGATCCCGGGGGGGGGGGTCTAGGGAGCCATTTTATAGCTATAAAACGGTGTGCATTGACCTTGGCACCAGGAGTCTGGCTATAAAATGAAGAGGAGTGACCTCACAGAGAATTTCATAAATTGAGGGGGGCTGACCTCAAAACGCATCTCCAACATACATGAGTAGCACTATAAAATGGCGACACGTTCCTACATAGAAAGAGCAAAGGACATCAAGAAGGACTTCCAAAACTTCAAGGCCCAGGATTACACATGATTGTATTATTTGTGGCACCAAGATACATGAAGCAAAGACTGTCTGCACATGTCTACACTTAGACGCATCAAAGAAGCATTTGTTTGCTTTCTGCTCTTTGCGTTCACTTTGGATTTCTGTTGTCTTTGTATGTCTTTGATCTCCATCTGGGATCAAAAAGCTGGAATCACACTGGTTCAGTGTCATTCACCCTACAAACACCTGGCAACATCATGCGAAATCTGGCAAGCAGGACTATCATCATCCTACATTTCTATGAAATGGCGGGGTGGCAAACATCACTCACCATGCTGGAAACATCTGGAAACAGTCTGTTTTCTATGAAATGAGGGGGTGTAACCCCCAGAAGTTAATACATAGAACGTTTTATACTGAGGGATGACCCACCCCATTTCATAGGGGTTATCCACAGGGGGATGGGTCCACAATCACATGACACCCAGATGTGAACAGGACGAGTTTCCCTGATCAGTTTCTTGAGTTTGTGAACACCTTGAGGTCGTCGTCAAGTCATAGCCATTCCAGATAGAACATCGAATAGCTGAGTCCGGTCCAAGTTGTTTCATCACCTCCTCTGAAAGAACACTCTGGGGCCCACATGCCACCTCAAGGAGCAAGGTTCGTTTGTGGTGAACAAGTTCATTCCAAACCTGACCATATGGATTGCGATTCTCCAACCAAGACTGTCCTATCTTCTTGTGGGTGTGAAAACATTGCTGTTCCGGACACAATTGCCACTCAGAATCACTATCTGGCTCAATCAAATCACTCACATCTCCTTGCGGGACTTGCTGCGCTCCGCCTGACGAGTCAACTGGGCGTTCTCCGATTTCAACTGCTCCAACTCGGCCTTCACCCTCTCCAACTCCTGCTCGGAATCGGACGGTTTCACCTTGACGAAAGAACTGTCGGAGTGCGGCTCCATCATCTCGCGACGAAGATCTGCCAGGTCCTGAGCGAACTGAACTGCGAGCTCCCCTGGACATCGTGTCCATTTTCTCCAGAGGAGCGAAGTCCCTATTCGTCACCGAGCGCACCAAAAGCCTGTTTTCGGCGGGTGGCTCCTTCCAAAAGATTGTCGCTCAGGGGCATCAGGAGGTGACCATTAGCGGCCTGTTCCAGCCTAACCACACTTCGTGGGCAGACTGAGCGGTATATCACCTCATTTCGGCCAAAGTCTACTACCGCCCCAAGCGCCCTCAAAGACTTGATAGATACCAAAATCGGTTGGTTTGGCAAATCATGAACATGGATTGACATGTCCCCAACCTTCTCTCCGCAGTCCACCTTCACTTTGGCGGTGGACGCGCATGCTTGGGTGCCGTTGTTCCCAAATCTAAAAGTTGGAGCGGTGGTCAAATCAACCTCGACACCATCGCAACCCTTTTTCTGCCAACGATTCTTCATCAGGGCCTCAACGGCGGCAACGGATCCCAGTGTGGCGGTGGCACCACAGTCAATGATCCCTTTTCCCAAGCGAATATTTTCGCAGACCTCAGCTGACACTTGCGCTTGCTCACACGACAACGAGTCATGTTGTGCCTGGAAGGCCACTTCCGCCTCCTCTGTCACGTTGGCCTGGGGCTTTCTCTGCACCTGGCAGTTGGCAGTTTGATGTGGTCCCCCACATTTCAAGCACTTCTGGGGTCCTTGATCTCGATCTCCATGTCTGAAGTGCCCTTTGCCACCGCCTTTGTTCGCCGGTGGTGCATAGAATTTCCGGCCACTGCGGACCTGCTGTTGTCGCCACCTGGCTTCCTGCAAGGTTCTTTTCTTTTCTTTGATGGCCTCCAAGGCAGAGTCAATCACTGTCTGCTCATCCATGAAGGCCGCATAGGCTTCGGGCTCATAGTCGGGATCAGGCGGTACCTCGCCTGCAAGCAGGAGCTGTTCGTCTTCTTCTTCCCAAGCCAGGTTGGCACTGTAGTGAGCCTTGTCCCTCTTCAGAAGATCTTCATCAGACCACTGCTCCTTGAGGGCTCGTTCAACTGTTGCGACAGAAAACTGTCCCCTGATGGCTGCCAAGACATTTGCTCGTTCATTGGCGTCCAATCCAGATCTCTGCAGCAAGAGGAAACCTGTCAAGTGCTCCGGAATGAAGTCCTTCACCTCAGTGTGCCATGAAGCGGGAGGTTCATATTCCTCGCTGTGCCATGAGCTCCCATGCCATCCAGACCACTCTGAATGCTTCCAATCCCACTCCCAGTCCTGAGAGTGTGCAGCTCTTGTCGAGCCCATGGATCTGCGGCCTCAGAGGCCTCTCCATCATCACGCATTCTGCCATTCTCATCGAATGGTCCCCCATCACGATCTCCAGTCCTCGAATCATCATCTCGACGGGCTGCAGTCGATGACCCATGGCTTCGTCGGCCCCAACTGGCATCACTATAGGTCTTGCCCGTGTGCTTTGAGCTTCCCCCAGCAGTGGTTCCACTGCCATGTTCAGAGTTCACACGCTGCAAGGCCCGAGATGCATCCCACAGTGCTTCACTGTGGCGACTAGTCCACTGAGTCATGGTTTCATTGCGCTTTCGCTTCAACTGGTAAAAGAACTTCTGGATATGCTGAGCTGCCTGTATCAATGTCGGCTGTCCCAATGACTGCTCTAAGTGCTCTATCAGGTCGTAGGCCCCCCTCGGATGAGCCAGCCATGGTGGGTCTACAGCCAACTTCTTTCGGATCACCGTCCTGGCTACACCAGTCAACCCTTGGGCAAGTCTAGGACCACCAAGGTACCGTTTCTGTGTCTCAAGGGTGAACAAGTAGGCCAGTGCTTCTTCTTTGAACATCGCTAGATGCTCAGCCGACCCATCATAGGTCGGAACCCCATCTTTGCTTCTAGGCAAAGATTCCATCCCTGGATCTACACCGTCGCCTCTGGGCTTCGATGTCCTCAAACCTGGATGAACCAGGCTATGCCGCTACCATGCGAGTGAAAAACACGAGCGGAAGGAGTCAGCACACAAGTGATCGCTCCTTTTTCAAAAACCGCAGGGGGCCTTTGAGTGCTGTACGGATGGCGACGAATTGTGGAACTGAGCATGCCGCAATTTGCACATATACATATACATATTAACGCTTTATATTATTCAATATTTATATTAACGATCCCTTAGCATTTGTTATGCTCAAAACCGATCTAAAATGAATGTTTTTTTGGTACAAGCAAAGCATGAAGGAAAAATGACTGAAAACATCCTCAAGGTATCTAGGTCACGAGGTCGTCCATCCACGTCCAGATCTCTTCCCTTTCCGCTTCCAATCGCTTCACTTAAGGCTTGGCTGCAGGTTGCGAGCAACTGAGCAGCTTCATTTTCTGTCAAAACACCCCTGCAAGGGAACCCAGCGCAAGAACATGCAAAAGCTTGCTGCGGCTGGTGGCAACCCTTTCAATGCCTTTGAAAAACAATCGTCAATGTACCTCTGCAAAAGATGAAAACTCTGCCTCAATAGGTAGAACTCAGCTTCGCCAGGATGATGAGGCTTCGAGATTGAGCCGTGATACTCCAAGACTCCATATTGCCCACCTGGCGTCTAAACATCTAGGAGTTGATAAGAGCGGCACAAAAAAAATCAACGTGCCTCACCTGCGGTAATGGTTTGTGGAGCTTCGGTAAAGGTGAATGGCCTGACCTGATAAGTGGGAGGGTGAAACTTGTCTTTCTGTGATTTTTGTCCGCCCTTACTTAATTAAGTAGGCGCCTACTTAAGTGAGTAAGGAGGTATATAAGCTACTAGGAGAAGTTCGCTCCTGGCTACTTTGTCTTCTAGTAACTGGACGCAGGATAGCTCACGCGTCTTCAAGGAAGCGCTCGCACCAATGATTTGGTTCCTAGATCTTTTGGGAAACTTAACATACCTGATCCAAAAGCAAAGCTGGAACCACAGATGCGCAACAGCAACTGCATTATTCACCGATTATATAAACAAAAAAAGCTGATGAGTGTGCAGTCCTCTCTGCTGTGGGTATTATATAAGTGGAAGCAGCTGAGATTAGCAAACGAAAATCACACAGCCAAACCAAGGTTCTGGCTGGCACTGCAACCAGCTGTTCGACAGATGTCCATGTTCCGTTGCCACAACCCTAACCAGACAGCACAATCTCCAAATTGAACAAAAAACACCTAAGCCGCAAGTTAACTATCATTTACCGAGCTTGGAAGAGGCAAGAAATGCTGTTGGCCACCTTATCCTCCAGCCCTTCGCCATGACCTGCGAAATGTTGGGTGAAGGGCATGTGAAGGACAAGGTATTTATCTAGAAGAGACATAACTGAAGCCGTTCTTCTCGGTGGGAACAGTGCCTGGCGCGAAGGATGAAGGCACCGAAGGAATCTGGCAATCGGTCCCGGAGTACCCGCTCATTGAGCCTTCCGAAGAGGTGACATGGGGCTGAGAGAGTGATCATGGGCTTCGAATCCTGAACGTGCCTTGGCCATCAATTGAAAAACTGGCTACATCACAAGCTGCCCTGAAATAATCCAACTCTTGAGCCAAACTGTGGGACTGGGGTGGGTCATGACTCGAAGCTTGCAACGGCACGCAGGGTGTCGAGTGGCTTCAGCTTTGGTGGAAGATACAATCGAGTTGTGGGGTGGCATTGCTCAACTGGCAGCAAAGCTTCGGGTAAATAAAGTGTTCTGACTGGCGGGCAAGAGTTCTCTCAAGCAGGATGACCTCAAGAAATACTCGCTTGAGTTGCTGATCAACTGTTGTTTTTCTCGCGGTGCGGAGAGTGGGCAAAGGACTGAAACCCAACAGCCACAGTCCGCTCTTTGCCCCTACATGTGCAGTCGAGCGTCATCGACTGAAAAATCTGCCAAATGTTAACCCTCAACGGTGGTTTTGCATGTCTTTTCAAAGGATTTGCTATTCATGAATGAGAGCGTCATCAGGTTGCCGGTTCGAAGGGATGGTCCATCATTCTCAACGAAGGGGTGGGGATGACATGGTACAATTCTCGCGGCATTGGAATACACTGTGTATCCCAAAGTACGCGATCCTATATCAGAAATTTGGATGTTCAGCTTGATGCCAAAGAATTACAAAAACAGAACAGAGAGTATTTTAAAAAACAAAGACGTACATTTTGCTCAAGATGTCATTCCGTTTTTGAACTCAAAAAAACTTGATCAGTATTAGGACGCTATTAGGTGGAGGCCATCGCAAGTAGGTTGGGGGCCATCACTACTAGTCACAAGAAGCACAGAATTGTCACTTTCGGTGCCACTTCCCGCTTTGACCGTATCCGCAGGTAGGAGCAATTTCGGACGCCAGAGCGTCAGCACTTGCTTCATTGAGGTGAAACATGTTTCTTTTTCGCTCAAAAAGCGAGATCTCCTACAGCAATTTCAGACCACCTGCACAACATGGCACAACCTGGATGCGCCTGGTGGACTGGTTTTGTGGTTGTGGTTGTATAGTCTTGTGATGTCTTGTGTAGCTGCTAGCTGTCTGAATTTTGCAACGAATTATTCCTGCCACTCATGCTTCCTGCTTCCCTTGTTTGCTTGGCGGAAAGAGCCTTCCAGCAGTCAAGCAAAATCACCTACTCTAGATACCCCTCCTTGTCCCAGGTTCAAAATGGTTCAAACATGTTCAAACCTAACCTAGTCCCATTTGTATGGTTTGAGTCACCAAAGAAGGAACCGCTTCGGATGATTCATTCATTCGTTCTATTTCTTAGATTTTTGGGCTTTTGGTGTACTGCTGTCACCCTTGCATGTGCAAGCCTTGCCCTTAGTATATAACTTGAGCACTGGCTAAAGTCCCAGAGCTTGCTTTGAGGTGAGTCGTTCTGAGATTGGTTTTGGGATTCTGACCATTCATTGAGGCTCTGCCTCTGCCTGACAATTCAAAGCTCCCGCCTGGCATCTGGCTTGCAACACACCATTTCGCTCTTGACCTTGGAATCTAGGGTAATTGTGCTTGAGTGGGAGATGATCCACGGTCGATGGGATCTTGAATCAAATTGAAGGAGCAGAACACCTTCAACTTTCAGTGTCTCCCATGGAGTTGATTTCAGCGACTTCATTCCAAGCAACGCGTCTTTACCGGACTCACCGGCCCGTCATCCAAGGCAATCAACCGCTCCTGGCTCCAACCTGAGTGATGGGGCACCATACTTGGCAAGGTGTTTTGAACACAGCTCTCAACCATGGCCACTAAAATTACTTGTCCTGCAATTCCACATGAAAAGAATCGCTGTTGCAATGCAATGATCTACTCCTGCAATCCAAGAAGTATGATTCTTCAATCTTCAATATTCTTCAAGGAATTTCTTTTTTCCTATGTATTCATTGCTGACTAATCTTTGTAGCTTCAAAAGCTGGTCGTCGGCCACCCGACGCTTTCCGCGACTGGAGCTGCCAAGTGCAGCTCCGAAAGCTTCTTCACCCTGACTGCGCTGATCCCAAGCTGCGGAAACTGTGGAAAGTTGGGGATCGTATGAAGGCTATCGAATTCCACCCTCTCTCTCTCTATTGATATCAAGCAAAAAACAGAAGCAAACCAGAGTCAGAAGCTAGTCAACAAGCAGTAGCATCCATTAAAAGCATTCTATATACTTGCACAAGTCCGACTTGCCAACGCAGCCGCGGTCGACGCGGCCTCTGGCATATCACTATCAGAGCTGTCGCTTTGCTCTACACTGAGGAGGACAGCCTAAGTAACACGCGCTGCTCACACGCAGCCAAAATAAGAAAACAAGATGGAGCCCACGAACCCGAATGCAAACACGTTCGAAAAGCTACATATGTCCAAATGACACTCTTGTAGGACACTCTTGTGGGACACTCTCGTGGGTCACTCTTGTAGGAAACTCTTGTGGGACACTCTTACGGGACACTCTTGTAGGACACTCTTGTGGGTCACTCTTGTAGGAAACTCTTGTAGGACACTCTTGTGGGACACTCTTGTGGGACACTCTTGTGGGACACTCTTCTGGGACACTCTTGTGGGACACTCTTGTGGGACACTGTTGCGGGACACTCTTGTGGGACACTCTTGTGGGACACTCATACGGGACACTCTTGTGGGACACTCTTGTAGGACAATTTTGTGGGACACTCTTGTGGGACACTGTTACGGGACACTCTTACGGGACACTCTTGTAGGACACTCTTGTTCAACACTCTTACAGGACACTCTTGTAGCACACTCTTGTAGGACACTCTTGTGGGACACACTTGTGAGACACTCTTGTGGGACACTCTTGTGGGACACTCATACGGGACACTCTTGTGGGACACTCTTGTAGGACACTCTTGTGGGACACTCTTGTGGGACACTCTTGCAAGACACTCTTGTAGGAAACTCTTGTCGGATACTCTTGTAGGACACTCTTGTGGGACACTCTTGTAGGACACTCTTGTGGGACACTCCTGTAGGACACTCTTGTGGGACACTCTTGTGGGACACTCTTGTGGGACACTCTTGTAGGACACTCTTGTGGGACACTCTTGTAGGACACTCTTGTGGGACACTCTTACGGGACACTCTTGTGGGACACTCTTGTGGGACACTCTTCTGGGACACTCTTGTGGGACACTCTTGTGGGACACTGTTGCGGGACACTCTTGTGGGACACTCTTGTGGGACACTCATACGGGACACTCTTGTGGGACACTCTTGTAGGACAATTTTGTGGGACACTCTTGTGGGACACTCTTACGGGACACTCTTGTAGGACACTCTTGTGAAACACTCTTACGGGACACTCTTGTAGCTCTTGTGGGACACTCATACGGGACAACTCTTGCGGGACACTCTTGTAGGACACTCTTGTGGGACACTCTTGTGGGACACTCTTGCGGGACACTCTTGTAGGAAACTCTTGTGGCATACTCTTGTAGGACACTCTTGTGGGGCACTCTTGCGGGACACTCTTGTGGGACACTCTTGTGGGACACTCTTGTAGGAAACTCTTGTGGGAAACTCTTGTAGGACACTCTTGTGGGACACTCTTATAGGACACTCTTGTGGGACGCTCTTAAGGGACACTCTTGTGAGACACTCTTGTGGGACACTGTTGCAGGACACTCTTGTGGGACACTCTTGTAGGACACTCTTGCGGGACACTCTTAAGGGACACTCTTGTGGGACACTCTTGCACGAACCTCTTGTGGGATACTCTTGTAGGACACTCTTGTGGGACACTCTTGTAGGACACTCTTGTGGGACACTCTTGTAGGGCACTCTTCGTACGAGACTTCCTCCAAAAGTCACACGTCAAGTCTCCAAAAGAGCGTTTCGTACGAGACTTCCTCCAAAAGTCACATGTCAAGTCTCCAAAACGAGCGTTTCGTACGAGACTTCCTCCAAAAGGCACGTGTCAAGTTTGTAAAACGAGCATGTCGTACGAGACTTCCTCCAAAAGTCAAGCGGAAACACCCTTTGGAGCACACACATCACGCAGCCCTGCCAAGCAGTTTCGCAAGTCCAGCCCCTCCAAACAACACCCGTTCACACGCCAATCCCACTGTGACAGCGACATTCCCCTACCCCAACTCACAACCTCACAATTCCCTGCGCCTGCCACGAATCTTTCCGCGTCCACACGTCTAACGCGCAC